GATGACAACTGGGTTCCAAAAGGCTCTTTCTTGGTAGGCTAGAATGACAAGCTATATGAAATAAAATAAAAATTGATACAGATCAATGTAAAGTATTATACTTTGGTTCAAAAAATCAATTTCAGAAGTTCAAAACTGGGAAGTCAAAGCAGATGATTCTAGAAGAAAATTTCTGTGGGGGATTAATAGATTGCAAGATCAATATAAATCAACAATTTTATGTGGTAGCAAAAAACTAATAATGTGATCTTGGTTGTATTGAGTATCATAATATCCAGTAGGAAAGAACCACTCTAGTTAGACCAGTGACGTCAAATACCATACAAACAGTGCCAGGAAACCATACCTACAGATGCTTTTAGCCCATATATTAACTTAGAAAACCACATATTAACATTATCTATGTTCTTTTGTATTCTTTTAGTTCATTAAACATTTCCTAATTATATTTTAATCTGGTTCGGTTGCACTTGAGAGTGTTGCATTGCAGCCAGCAGTGTTTGACATCTTGAAGTTAGACCATATATGTAAAAGTATTTAGTTTGGGCCACAATTTATGAAATACATTGACAAACTGCTGCATGTCCAGATGAGGATGACTAGGATAGAAAAGGACATGAGACCCATGAAAATCAGTTGAAGGGGAGTTCTTCTCCCGGGAGTCAAGATGGTGGAGTGAAAAGGTAGTCACTCTCACCCTCCCCTATCAACCTCTGAAAACCCAGAAAATATCACCCCAGGAAAAAAAAAAACCCTGGAACAGCTGACCCAGAAGAAAGACAGAGAACAGCAGTGCAGCAGCCCAGCAAACAGGTCTCCCAGTGCCTCAGCAAAAATAAGGAAAGCAGCACTACAAAGGACCCCAGAGAGATAAGCACCCTGCAGCATTCATCTGAAAGGAGCTGAAGAAAGCAACCTAGAGTCTTCCTAAAGCCCTGGCCTTGCTGATTCCAAACCAACACCAGGTAAGCTGTCAGAACCCCTCAGCCTCCAACTGTCAACCAAGAGGAGATCCTGAAGCCCAGGTGGTAAAGCAGGCAAACACCAACACCTGGACCTCCGAGTGCCTCAGTGAGGGCAGGGGAAACAGTGGAAACCAACTCAGAAAACCCCAGGTTCCTCGGCACTCTACCACAAAGGAATCTCCCAGTGCATTAGCAGAAACAAGGGAGGAAGCATTGCAAGGGGCCCCAGGCAGATAAACACCCTGCAGCACCCATCTAAAAGGAGCTGAAGAAAGCTAAAGGAAAGGAAAAGCAGGCAACCTAGAATTGCCTGAAAGTTCCAGCCTTGCTGATTCCAGCCCAACATAAGGTAAGCTGCCAAAACCCTACAGCCTCCAATTGCCAACATAAGAGGCCCCAGCACACAAAGCCAGTGACCAAGACCTAGGCTCCCAACACAAGAAGCTTGGGTCAGTGCCCTCTGTTCCCCAGCAGGAGAGCTCAGTCTCTTTAAAGGCCAGGGAATAAAGAAACCATGAGTAAAAAGAAACGTACCATAGATTCATATTATGAGAAGAGTGAAGATCAAGACAGAAATTCTGAAGAGGACAACATTGTCAACAAACCCACATCTGCAACATCAAAAGGGAATATGAACTGGTCTGAAGCCCAAAAAGCCTTCTTAGAAGAGCTCAAGAAGGATTTTAAAAGTCTAATGAGAGAGGTAGAAGAGTCCTTAAAAAATACAATTGGCCAATTGGAAAAAAAAGTACACTGAAGAAAACAAGTCCCTAAAAAACACAATTGGCAAACTGGAAAAAAAAGAGTACACTGAAGAAAAAAATCTTTTAAAAATACAATTGTCCAATTGAAGAAGGAAGTACAAAAACTAACAGAAGAAAACAATCTGTTAAAAACTAGAATTGGACAAATGGAAACTAATGACTCTATGAGAGAGCAAGAATCAGTCAAACAGAAACAAAAAATGAAAAAATGGATGAAAACATAAAATACCTCATTGGTAAAACAACCGACCTGGAAAATCAATCCGAGACAATTTAAAAATCATTGGACTACCTGAAAATCATGATGAAAAAAAGAGCCTGGACAGTATCTTTCAGGAAATCATAAAGGAAAACTGCCCAGAAGTCCTAGAACTAGAAGGTAAAATAACAATAGAAAGAATACACCCCTCACCACCTGAAAGAGATCCCAAATTGACAATGCCAAGGAATATAATAGCAAAATTCCAAAATTACCAGATGAAAGAGAAGGTGCTGCAAGCAGCCAGAAAGAAACAATTTAAATATCATGGAACCACAGTCAGGATTACACAGGACCTTGCAGCTTCTACATTAAAAGACCACAGGGCGTGGAACATGATATTCCATAAGGCAAAGGAGCTTGGATTGCAGCCAAGGATCAACTACCCTGCAAAAATGAGCATGATTTTTCAAGGGAGGAGATGGATATTCAATGAAATAGGGGACTTCCAAAACTTCCTGATAAAAATAACAGAGCTCAATAAAAAAATTTGATCTTCAAGTACAAGATTCAAGAAAGACATAAAAAGGTAAATGGGACAGAAAGATACAAAATGTTGTTAATAAGGGCAGACTGTTTACATCCCTACAAGGGAAGATGACACTTGCAACTCTTGAGAACTGTATTGTTATTACACCATGTTAAAGGAGTATATATAAAGGGGGTGGGTATTAGTTGACTTTGATGTAATGATAAAAAAAATCTAATCAAGTGGGTTAAATGGATCCAAGTAAGTGGATTAGTCTGATCTTAGAAAATGTACTGAGAAAGGAGGAGGCAGACAAGGGTAAATTACATTACAGGAAAAGACAGAAAATCCTATTACAGCAGAGGTAAAGAAGGGAGGCGGGTGAGCATTGTTTGAACCTTACTCTTATCAGATTTGACTCAAGAAAGGAATAACATAATCAGTTAGGTATAGAAATCTAACTTACCCTATAGGCAATAGGAGGGAAAAGGAAAGAAAAGGGAGGGAAGTAGTAAGGGCAAAGGAGAAGAAAAGGGAAAGGGATAATAGAACGGAGGAGAGACTGAAGGAGGTGGTGGTCAAAAGCAAAACACTAGTGAGGGGGGGAAAGGTGAAAGGAGAAAGAAAAGCATAAACGGGGGGAGGAAAGGATGGAGAAAAAGACACAGATAGTAATCATAACCGTGAAAGTTGAATTGTTATCTTTTTTTTTCTCTTCTGTTGAATTTTGTTTCCTCTTTCTGATGGTTCCTCGTATTGGCTCTAGTTTTTACTTACAACTTCACTAATGTGAAAATATGTTTAATAGGAATGTAAATGTATAGCCTATATCAGATTGTGTGCTGTCCTGGGGAGAGGAAGAGGGAGAAAAATTTTAAACTCAAAAGCATATGGAAGTGATTGTTGATAAATCAAAATGAATTAATAAGATAAATTTAAAAAAAAAGAAAATCAGTTGAAGGCATTGTGAATGTGTAGCATTCAGTAGGGATATGCTAGCTATATTCAAACACTTAAAGGTCTGACCATGCCTTGTCTTTGTCAATGATTTGAATAAAGCTGTTCATGGTATCCTTATCAAATTTGCAGATGACAGAAAGCTAGAAAGGATTGGTAACACATTGGATGGCATCATCAGTAGTCAAAAAAAGATCTAGACAGGCTAGAACATTAGGTTGAGTCTTAAAAGATGACTTTTTTTTAAGATGACTTTTAATAGGAATAAATGTAAAGCTTGCATTTAGGTAGCTAGGTGGCACAGTGGTTAGAGCAGTAGAGCTGAAATCAGAACATCCAAGTTCAAATCTGATGGTGGAGACTTACCAACTGTGTGAGCCTGGGCAAGTCATTTAACTTTTATCCACCTGCTTCAGTTTCCTCAACTGTAAAATATTATTATGTAAAATGGATATTATAATAGCACTTACCCTTCAGGCTCTTTGTGAAGATAAAATGGGATAATATTTGCAAAGCACTTTGCAAGTCATAAAGCACTATATAAATGCTTGCAATTATCACTTAAAAATCAACTTGACTAGTTCAAGATGAGAAAAACATATTTAAATACTTAACTGTCAGAAAAAATATTGGAGTGTTTTAGAGTTATACAAGTTTAATATAACAACCAAAAAATGTCACATTGCACTGTGTTAAGTGGCATGTATTCCAGGAAGTAAGATCATAGTACCAGTCTACTTTGCCCAGGTCAGCCCACAACTGTGGTATTTTGTTTAGTTCTGGGCACCATATTTAAAAAAAAAAATTGATAAGCTAGAAAATATCTAGAGGAGGGCAACCAAAGTAATGAAGAGCCTTGCGTTTAGGTCAGGGGTGGAGAACTCTCCCAGGAATTTGTTCTGTGAAGTTTGAATTCAGTCAAAGGGCTGCACTTGAGGACCCAGAGGGCCACATGTGGCCTCCAGGCCACAGGTTTCCCACCCCTGGCCATAAGCCCATCAGTTGAACTGAGGAGATATTTAGCCCAGGGAAATGAAGGCTCAAGAGAGGGTCATACCAGCTGTCTGCAAGTACTTGAAATGCTTCCATGTAGAAAAAGGATTTGACTGTTCCATTTGGACTGAGGAGAAAGAACAAGGACCAGTGGATGAGAGTTGAAAAGAGGCAAATATAGGCTTGCCATAATGAAAAAACTTCCTAACAATTGGAAGTATCCAAAAGTGGAATGGGCTCTGTCAGGAGCTAGTAGGTTCCTTCTCACTGAAGATCTTTGGTCAAAGGCTAGGTGATCGTTTACCAAGTATGAAGTAGTAGGGATCCTTTTGGGGATATAGACTTTACTAAAGCAGAGTTTCTTAAACTGGGGTACCTGAATCTCTTTTTTTAACATTTTGGTAACTATTTCAATATAATTGGGTTTTTTGGTAACTCCCTGCATTTTATTTTACACATTTAAAACTATAACTCTGAGAAGAGATTCATAAACTTCACCAGACAGCCAAAGTATTCCATGACTCACAAAAAGAGTTTGAGAACCTCTGTCCTGTATGGTGTTTCCCAAATCTGAAATGTTGTGATTCTTTTTTTTTAGAAACTTTCTTTAATACTTTCTTCTGCTTTTACTTCTTCTTGAGGTAATAAGTGTGCAATCTTTATTAATAATCCTTCACTTGTTGAAATACGAAGAAATGCACGTACCACGAAAGGTCCACTACTCCGCGGTTTGTGCCTGCAGACATCAGTGATGACTGCTTCCAGATTAGCAGCTATCTCATTATTTGGCATATCCAGCATTGCTATTTGGGTCTGGAGAAGGTTCCCTCTTTCCTCATCTACTGCAATCTCATGTCCAGCTTTAAAGAATTCGAACATTTTCACTATGTCGTGATTGATGGAATTTTGGGGAAGCCTCGGAAATCTTTTTTTGAGTTTCCTTCTTAATGGCTGAAGTGCTGGCATCATTTCTGGAACGCTTACGTAAAAATCTGCCTGGATTTCATCATCCAAAATCTTCTGAATCAGAGCAGATCCTCCTGCAAACACAGCTCTGTTCTCTTCTGCGATTTTAATTTCGTATTCTTTCTCTGTAAATACCAGAATTTTTTTAGCCTTTGAAGTAAAAGGAAATGGGAAATTAAGGACACTGACAAATGGCTCCACCTTTTTCTTCTTCTTCTCCAGTGCCATATCCAGTGTCAAATCAAGATAGACACCTTGCTTTGGGTGAGAATAGTCCAGAACTTGAAATTTTTTTAGTAAATTAATTGCTTTATCCACTTCATAAATCGGCCTTGGGAATAAGCGTTTTAAGTAGACATCATCCTCAGGCTCACCTTCCATGTAAGTGTACATCTTTAGCTTTTCTATATCATCTGGTTTTGCATCTGAGGTTTGTACTTTAGAGCCTTTTTTCTTCTTTTTTGCAGGCTTTGCAGCAACATAATGTCTTTTGGCTGCCTGAACATTTACAAGACAAGATGCAACAATGATCCCGGAGAAACACTGACTCTGGTACTGAAGGAAAACTCTCCCGAAGCAGCTAGAAAATATGGAACGCTTCACAAATTTGCGTATCATCCTTGCACAGGGGCCATGCTAATCTTCTCTGTATCATTCCAATTTTAGTATATGTGCTGCCAAAGCGAGCACTGAAATGTTGTGATTCTGAAAAGATATTAAACTTATTCCACTTGGCTTCAGATGACAGAAGAAGTGGGAATGGATAGAGATTTCCCAGAAGAAGACTTAAGCTTTTTTAAAATTTTTTTCATTTAAAATTTTTAAAATACAATTTTAAATTCCTAATAATTAGAGCCAGACATAATAGGTTGTTTCAGGTCCACTTCACTGGGTGTCTCTAAATGGGAGCTGTATGATTACTTCAGGGGGATGTTTTAGAAAGAGAGAAGACTCTTGTTCAGATATGAGTTGGACTGAAATCCTTCAAATTCTGAATAGGGCCTGACCAAAAAAAAAAAACTGATGTAAATGTGTAGGAAGCTCACTGACCAACTTGGATTTTTAAAAAGATATGTCTAGTAGAAGATGGAACCAAGGCCAGGTAACTAAAGATAGATACAAAAGTATGTTGTGGTCCTATAAAAACTCTGTCTAGATTATCTAGTTAACTAGATTACCTAGGAGTTATCTAGGAGTTTAGAGTGAGCCAATGCATGCTAAAGCCAACTAAAATAACTTTTCTAGCTAAATTGAGGGAAAGAGTACATCTAATGATGGAAAAGGGCCACAACTCAGAATGAATAGAATAATGACAATGGGAATAAAGAGAGGGCAGAATTACTGAACTCTGATTTTCTTGTTTTCTGTTTGGACTAACAAAAAAAGAACAATGATTAGCGCAGATTTGAAAAACAAGATAAGTGAGGAGGTAGAAAAGGAGGTTCTAACAACCCTCAACAAGTTTAAAGCCCTGGGCCCAGATAAATTACACTTTTATAATTTGAAAAAAAAAAAAGGTGGGTATATTACTGAGCCACTATTAAGGACCTCTGAAAAATTGGGGAGGGGGATACTACAGGACTAGAGGAAGACACTGTTTAAAAGCAAAAAAAAAAAAGGAAAGAGGACAGGGTCTTCAAAAGACAGATCAGAATGCTTGACTTCCTTCCTGGAAAAATTTAAATTCATATTGCTAAAGGCATTATTTATGAGTATTTCAAAAGGGAAGCATGGTCATCAAGTGATAACACAGTTTCCTCAAGAACAGCTCATGCCAAATTAGGCCTATTTCCTTTTTTGACAGGGTAACTAAATCAGTAAATCAGGGAAGTGCTATGCCAATAACATATCTAAGTTTCAACAGGGAATTTGACTAAGTCTCTCATGATGAATGCCATCCTCATGGACAAGATGGAGAAATATGAGGTAGATGACAGTGCAGTTAAGTAAATTTAAAACTAGTTGAATGAAAGGACCCAAAGATATTAATGGCTTGATGTCTACTTAGAGGATTTTTTCTAGTAGGGTCCCCCAGGGACCTTCTCCAAGGCCCTGGAACGTTTAGTATTTTTATCAATGACTTGGATTTAAGCACAGAAAGCATATTTGTCAAATGTATGCAGCTGGAACTACAATTTCTTCCTTTTGGGCCTCTAAGAACCTGTGCAAGTCCCCCCTCCCTTCCTGATGTTCCTGGAAACTGTCCAAGATAATTTGAATAATCCATTTTACTTGACCTAAGGGAGGATTTTGGGATTAAAGGAAAATCTAGGAGAGAATAGAAGAGCTTCCCTAGATCTTAAGACATATATGAGTAGGAGATACACCAGTAGATGCTGAGAGAGAATGGAGATATGACTCATCATAAACTTGAATTTGAGTGGAAAGAGACTTATTTTCATGTTACAAAGAGGAAGGACTCTCATTAGATTGTACCCACCCACCACCCACTCACCCAAGAAGTCTACTGTGATAAGACTGCAGTTGTGGAAACTACATACTAGAGAAAACTAATTTTAAAGCTGTATCATTTCATTATTAATATTAACCTGTATCATTCCCTTTTCCATGAAAACCTCCGTAAACCTTCCTGGAATGCTCCTTTTCTGATTTCGGTCACCAAGAGAGACATCAACGATGGCAGTTTATTGATTATTAGCTAGCTTAATTAATAAATTGATAAATGGTACCCACAACTTTGTCTTTCAGAATTTTATTTATGACAGCACAAAAATAAAAAAGTTTAAGAATAACAAGTTTATAAGATTTTTTTTAAACCTTTAACTAACACTCAGAGATTTGTTCCAAATAAGAAAGATTAGAGATCTAGTTCCCTGGGAAAGGAGATAAGTGTCATCTACTGAAGTGGGGCCCAACTGCAGATAGTAGAGCCTAAACTGAGTAGAATAATAATGATGATAACAACAACAACAATGATGATGATAATGATGATGATGATAGCTGCTAGCATTTATATAGTGCTCTAAGGCTTGCAGAATGCTTTACAAACATCTCATTATATCCTCACAGCAATCCTGCAGAAGAAAGTATTATTATTATACTAATTTTATACATGAGGAAAATGAGGCACAGAGCAAGTGAGTGACTTGCCCAAAGTCACACAGCTAGTAAGCGTCTGAGACCAGATTTGAACTCAGTTTTAGTCCTGTAATTTATCCACTGCACCACCTATCTTCCTACCAAACTCAGAAGAAAAAGACAGATTAAGGAATAAGAGCTGAGTGGAGGAAGGAGGGGCTGCAGGGGATAGCGCTGATGGCAAGGCAGTGACTGGCGCTGCCTGCTCAGGTTAGCAGGAGGGAAAAGATGCTAGGCATAAATAATGTGGCAGAGAGAGGATCTCTGAAGGGGAGCAGTACTGCAGAGATCCTGACTATGCTCCACTGGCGTCCACTTAGGGCAATACTGTAAATCGAGGGCACTCACAGTTCGCTGGTGCCTTGGTTAGAGGGTAGGGAAGGGGCACTGTTCATGGGGAAGCAGCAGGGAGAATCCAGTGGAAAAGGAAAGAATGAAAAATAGGAAAAGAGAATGAGGAATGATCAAAAGGGCAAGCTCCCGGAAGAGATGAGAGGAAATGGCATCTAGGGGACAGGAAAATCACCTAAAAGGATAGTGAATGTTTAGCCTGGAGAAGAGACTTCAGGGGTCATGAGAAGTATTTTTAAGCACCTGAAGCCCTAGAATGTGTAAGAGGAATTTGAAATGTTTTGCCTGTGCCCTTGCAATTAGAAGTCCTGGATGAATTTGCGGAAAAGTAAATTTCAGCCCAATGTAAGGGGAAACACTCCAACAATTAGAGATCCTTGTGAGCAGAAGGTGCTATTTGAAGTTTGTTAGGTTCCAATGTCTGGAAGACCACAGGGAGGGGTGCTCTAAAGAATATCTAAAGAACTCTGCTCAAAAATAGCTTGGATGAGACGAATTCTGATTTCCACTTCCAGCTCAGAGATTCTGTCATTATGAGATTCCTCACAAACTTCAGCTAACTGTCTCACAATCCTCCAAAACACAAGGTCACAAGGGATGTTTGTTCAAAGACCAAGTTTAAAGAACTTGGATTCATCAACCAAACAAACTCTAGCGAAGTCCTAGGGTTAGTGAGTAGAAATTAACAACGAGAATGATTTGGATTCACTATCAGGGAGAGCTTCCTAAAACCTGGATCTAGTTATAGAAGGGTTGTTTCATCATCAATTCCCCATTAATTAATCAATCAACCAATAAATCATGAAGCATATATTAAGTGCCTAGCAATTGTCAGGTGCCATGTTATGTGTCAGGGATGCAAAGGCAAAAATGAAATCTCCCCTGCCCACACAGAGCTAACATTCTATGGAGGAATGACATATATAAATATAAATACATACAGAATACATACAAAATGAACACAAGGGAATATAGAAGAGATGCATTATCACCTGGGGGGGATCTGGAAAGGTCTCATGTAGGGGGTAGCATATAAACTGAGCTTTGAAGTAAGCCAGACCTATTCTTTTTGTTTTTTTTTCCTACTCTTACTAGTATTTTTCCAATTACATGTAAAGATAGTTTTCAACATTCACTTTTATAAGATTTTCAGTTTCAATTTTTTCTCCTTCCTTCCCTTTCCTCCCACCTCCCCAAGACAGCAAGCAATCTAATATAGGCTGTATGTGTACAATCATATTAAATATATTTCCATATTAATCATGTTGTGAAAGAAGAATCAGAACAAAAGGGAAAAACCATGAGAAAGTAAAAAAAGAGAAAGAGAAAATAGTATGCTTTGATCTGCGTTCAGACTCCATAGTTCTTTTCTCTGGATAGCATTTTCCATCATGAGTCTTTTAAACCAGAACTATCTAAGAGACAGAGGTAAGGAGGGAATGCATTTCAGAAAGGGAGGTCAACCTGGCCAAAGGCATGGAGATGAGATCTTGTGTTTGAGGAACAGCAAATACATCAAAGAAGTAATAAATAATAAGGCTGGACAGGTAAGTTGAGGCTGGGTGACAAACGGATTTGCATGCCAAATGGAATAGTTTATTCTATCCTAAAGGTAATAGGGAGTCACAGGGGCTTAAGCAAGGGAGTAGCATGATCTGACTTGTTCTTTAGGCAGCTCTGTAGAGGATGGATTATCCAGCAAAAATGCCTAAACTCAATTAGACTATTGCCGATAGTGCAGGTGAGAGGTGAGAAGGGCCTAATCTAATGACTGGCAGCTACAGAACCACTTATGAGAAATGTGACTGACTGCACACCTGCTTTGAAGGATACAGGGTGTTTTGGAGCAGGGGTATTGGATTAGGAATTGAGGACACATTCTATGTTGCCTATCCTTAAGGAATATTTCACAAGTTAAGGCATGAGACATTCCTATCAATGGTAGAAAGGACTGGAAATTCACAGCAATGGGAGTGTCCCATTGGAGGTTTGAGAAGGCTTTCTATGTCCTACACTGGGGCACATGGTAGAATTGTGGAGACTGATTCCTATCTCTCTTTATTCATCAC